GAATAATTTTTTTGCTGCAATGTCATCTGTATATTTACACTGTATATTTAAACTCGGCTTAGTCCCTTTATTAATCTGGGGTTGCCACAGCGGAATGAACCGCCAACTTATCCAGCATATGTTTTACGCAGCGGATGCCCTTCCAGCTGCAGCCCATCACTATGGACATTTAAGCTTACCCAATTCACCTATACCACGTTTTTGGACTTGTGGGGAAACCCATGCCAACACGGGGAGAACATGCAAACTCCACAGAGAAATACCAACTGACCCAGCCCAACACTGAGTAATTCAAACCTTCTTGTTTTGTGACTTATTTGCGTTATGTCAAGTGATATAATTGTATAAACACTATATAATGTAAAATATATACAGTTGAAGTCAGAATTATTTGCCCCCTTCGAAATTTTTTCTTCTTTTTAAAATATTTTCCAAATGATGTTGAACAGAGCAAGGGAATTTTCACAGTATGTCTGATAATATTTTTTCTTCTGGAGAAAGTCGTATTTGTTTTATTTCGGCTAGAATAAAAGCAGTTTTAATTTTTTTAAACACCATTTTAGGTCAAAATTATTAGCCCTTTTAAGCTATATTTTTTCTTGATAGTCTACAGAACAAACTATCGTTATAGAATAACTTGCCTAATTACCCTAACACGCCAAGTTACCCTAATTAACCTAGTTAAGCCTTTAAATGTCACTTTAAGCTGTATAGAAGTGTCTTGAAGAATATCTAGTCAAATATTATTTACTGTCATCATGGCAAAGATAAAACAAATCAGTGATTAGAGATGACTTATTAAAACTATTATGTTTAGAAATGTGTTGAAGAAATCTGCTCTCCATTAAATAGAAATTGGGGAAAAAATAAACAAGCAATCTAATAAGTTAGGGGGGCTAATAATTCTGACTTCAACTGTATATTTTAAAAAATCTCAAAAGGGACATAATTATATTAAATGTATTTTGTATTCCAGCCAAACTAAAAGTAATAATGATATTTTCTCCAGAAGGAAAAAAACAAATCAGTGGGGAGATATTTGAAAAATAATTAAAATTTCACATGAGGGGGCTAATCATTTTGAACTGTACAGTATGCATATATATAGAATATAAACATGAACACAATAATATTTCCTTCATGAATTAGTTCACTGTATAAGGTTTACGCTGACATCAATTCCAGTATAGTAAATATTTAGTAAATTCATTCATTCATTTTCTTGTTAGTCCCTTTATTAATCTGGGGTTGCCACAGCGGAATGAACCGCCAACTTATCCAGCAAGTTTTTTACGCAGCGGATGCCCTTCCAGCCACAACCCATCTCTGGGAAACATCAACACAAACATTCACACCCACACCCATACACTACGGACAATTTACCCTACCCAATTTACCCGTAGCGCATGTCTTTGGACTGTGGGGGAAACCGGAGTACCCGGAGGAAACCCACACCAACACAGGGAGAACATGCAAACTCCACACAGAAACGCCAACTGACCCAGCCGAGGATCGAACCAGCGACCCAGCAACAGCCTTCTTGCTGTGAGGCGAACGTGCTACCCACTGCGTCACTGCATCGCCTATTTAGTAATTATTAGCCACTATTTGACATGGTGGCTCAGTGGTTAGCAGCAAGAAAGTCGCTCTTTCGAGTCCTGTCTAGTCCAGTTTGCATGTTCTCCCCGTGTTTGCATGGGTTTCCTCCGGGTGCTCCGGTTTCCCCTACAGTCCAAAGACTTGCGGTACAGGTGAATTGGATAAGCTAAATTGTCTGTAGTGTGTGTGTATGGATATTTCCCAGTGATGGGTTGCAGCTGGAAGGGCATCCGCTGCGTAAAACACATGCTGGATAAGATGGCGGTTCATTCCGCTGTGGCGACCCCGGATTAATAAAGGGACTAAGCCGAAAAGAAAATGAATGAATGAAGGAATTCACCTATAGCGCGTGTGCTCGGACTGTGGAGTAAACCAGAGCACCCGGAGGAAACCCACACCAACACAGCGAGTACATGCAAAGCTCCACACAGCTGGGACTTGAACTAGAGACCTTCTTGCTCTGAGGCAACAGTGCTAACCGCTACCATGCCACCCTTATTATCTTCTTACTAGCTTGTATCTTGTGTCGCTCGCTGTATAAACGTCTGTAATACCATGCGCTAAATTAAGCATGTAGACGGCAGCACAATTACTAAAGGCGACCTCAGATGAACAATTGCAGAGCTTTACGACTTGACCTTAAAGCCCAGCTGATTTGTGATGCATACAAGTGACAGATGACTGATATTAAATCTAATGTTGAAGTGTCTCTGCTTCTCTATGCAGGGTTTACGGGTTACAGACCGGCTTTGGCCACTGTTTAGTCATTTGACATGCAGCTGTTGTGATGCGTAAATTAGTGCCACTTGGTCTAAATTAAGACGCGGTGTCTGTGAACCAAGTTATATAGTTCTTTATCCAGTGTGTACAGTATTACACAGCACGAGTGAGTACAGGTCTCTATTTTAAAAGCGATCTGTATTGTATTGGTATATTGTGTATTAATTTATGCTGAGCACTGTATGTGTGTATGAAGCAACAAAAACACGAATAAACTGTTCGGTGTGGATTGTTTTTGTTTGTTTAAAGTGTGTTTGTGTATTTTCCCTCCTCTTAATTAACACCATCAACCTTCATAAGCATTAAAATAAAGATTTTTATTAGATGTAATTTTTTAAATTAAATATACACTCACCGGCCACTTTATTAGGTACACCTTACTAGTACCGGGTTGGACCCCTTTTGCGTTCAGAACTGCTTTAATCCTTCGTGGCATAGATTCAACAAGATATTGGAAGCATTCCTCTGAGATTGTGCTCTATGATGGCATCACGCAGTTGCTGCAGATTTGTCGGCTGCACGTCCATGATGCCGATCTCCCGTTCCACCACATCCCAAAGGTGCTCTATTGGATTGAAATCTGGTGACTGTGGAGGACATTTGAGTACAGTGAACATGGCGTGTAATCCTATTAGAGGTAGCTATTAGAAGATGGGTACACTGTGGTCATAAAGGGATGGATATGTTCAGCAACAATTCTCAGGTAGGCTGTGGTGTTGACATGATGCTCAATTGGTACTGATGGGCCCAAAGTCTGCAAGAATATATCCCCCACACCAATACACCACCACCACCAGCCTGAACTATTGATATAAGGCAGGATGGATCCATGCTTTCATGTTGTTGATGCCAAATTCTGACCCGACCATCCAAATGTTGCAGCAGAAATGTAGTCTCGTCAGAGCAGGCAACGTTTCTCCAATCTTCTATTGTCCAGTTTTGAAGAGCCTGTGGGAATTATAGTCTCAGTTTCCTGTTCTTAGCTGACAGAAGTGGCACCCGGTGTGGTCTTCTGCTGCTGTAGCCCATCTGCCTCAAGGTTGGACGTGTTGTGCGTTCAGAGATGCTCTTCTGCAGACCTCAGTTGTAACAAGTGCTTGTTTGAGTTACTGTTGCCTTTCTCTTAGCTGGAACCAGACTGGCCATTCTCCTCTGACCTCTGGCATCAACAAAGCATTTGTGCCCCCAGAACTGTCGCTCACTGGATATTTTACATTTTTCAGACCATTATCTGTAAACCCTTGAGATGGTTGTGCATCAAAATCCCAGTAGATCAGCAGTTTCTGACATACTCCACCAATACAGCAACAACCATGCCACGTTCAAAGTCACTTAAATCCCCTTTCTTCCCCATTCTGATCCTCGGTTTGAACTGCAGCAGATCATCTTAACCATGTCTACATACTTAAATGCATTAAGGTGCTGCCATGGGATTGCCTAATTAGAAATTTGCATTAATGAGCACTCTGACAGGTGTACCTAATAAAGTTGCCATATTACAGTTTTACTCAGTCGCTTTGGTGCATTTCTCACTACACTATTTACATCTGCACAACAGTTAATGCATTTCTCAAAACAATTAGTGCAAACTGCAAAACCTGGCTGATAACCTGCAAAAGCGCGTCACATGCTCAAAATAGATAGTTCATTCGTCAAAAGCAAGTATTCATGTCAATCAAAGAGTCAGTATCATCAAAATGAAAACTCCTGACACCACTGTTTATGAACAAGATAGTCAAATGGCTTAGTCCTGTTTTCATTATGACAGTTTACTCTGTACATTTTTTTCCATTGCAAAAAAGTCAGATGTTGGTGACACTTCCTAAAAATGCTCAAGACAGCAATTAATACTATTTACAGAACCATTTGAAAACTACAGTAAAGTTAGACATCACTGCATTTAGTGAGCTATCTGAGTACAAGACACTGAATATGTATGTTTCACATTTTTACTGCAGATGCTCTTTGCAATTATAATTTATTCACAGCATTGGGCAAAAGAATAAACACACCCTTATTTACAACAAACATAAACTCCCTTTGGGTAGAGCTGTGCACAACTGTAAACAATATTGCAGAACATATTGGAACTGAAGCTACAACATACACAGGTCTGTAAATCATTCATGAAATTGTTCAATTTTGAAGACATTTTCAGGAAAATAAAGATTTAAATTTGTTTTTAAAAAATTTGTTTGACAGATTTTGACAACTAGTTCAACAGTTTTGTATGTGATGACTCAAGTAATGAAATGAGGACTATTAGTTTTATATGGAGTGACTATTCAGCATTCACAAGTTTAGTTCCTTTTGACTGACATGATATGAGCAAATGATAATGTTATAAATAGCAGGGAGTTGTATGAAAGCGATTGATGCATGTCCAAAAGCATTCACAATTTGTTGAAAAGAATGAGAAACTGCTACTATGATGTGCACAAATGACTAATTGTTTTGAGAAATGCGTGAACTGTTGTGCAAATGTAAATAGTGTTGTGAGAAATGCACCAAAGCCACTGAGAAAAACTGTAATAATGGTATTAATTTATAACAATAAGATATTAATTAATAATATGTTTAATGTAATTTCTAAAGTGACTCTTGATTAATGTTTCCTGCAGATCGAGGCTGGCAGTCCTGCTGCGCTCGCTGGCCTGTGTGAGAATGACGAGCTACTGTCAGTCAATGGAAAGCCATGCTCGAACCTCAGTCTCTCCGACACTATAGATCTCATCGCGGCCTCAGCTGACTGTCTGCAGCTGCTCGTCAAAAGGTATTTTATGACATGCACAAATGGTCCTTTGTCAACTATCAGTGTATTTGTCAATGCTAAGCTTGATGTGAAAAATCGTGGCTTAAACAAATTGATTGAGATTATTTTACCAAATCTCCTCCCTGCAGATGCTGTTTTCTTGCTTTTTAGTAAAGTTAACTAATCGCTTTAAAAGCAACAGGTTTACTCACATTTATAAGTCAACTAATTGTTTTTTTAAAGCAATAGGGTTTCTTACTTTTTAAGTAAAGTAATTTAATTACTTTAAAAACAAAGGATTTTCTTACCCTTTAAGTAAAGTTTACTAATAAATAAAAAAAAACTATGGGTTTTCTAATTTTTATAAGTCAACTAATCCCTTTAAAAGCAAGGGGTTTAATCACTTTTAAAGTAAAGTCAACTTATTAATTTTAAAAATAATGGGTTTACTCACTTTTACAGTATATGTAAAGTCATCTAACCGTTTTTTAAAGCAATGGGTATTTTTGCCTTTTAAGTAAAGTTAACCAATTAATTCTAAAAACATTGGGTTTGCTCACTGTTATAAGTAAAGTCAATTAACCGCTTTACAAGCAAAGGGTTTTCTAATTTTTTACAGTTTTTCTCAGTGGCTTTGGTGCATTTCTCACAACACTATTTACATTTGCACAACAGCTGATGCATTTCTCAAAACAATTAGTCATTTGTGCACATCCTAGAAGCAGTTTCTCATTCCTTCCAACAAATTGCAGATGCTTTTGGACATGCATCAATTGCTTTCATACAACTCTTGGTTGTTTATAACATTATTATTTGATTATGTCATGTCTGTCAAAATTAACTAAACTTGTAAATGCTGAATAGTCATTCCATATAAAACTAATAGTCCTCATTTCATTACTTGAGTCATCACATACAAAAATGTTGAACTAGTTGTCAAAATCTGTCTAACAAATTTTGTAAAAACAAACAAAAAAATTATCTTTATTTTTCTGAAAATGTATTAAAATTTGAACAATTTCATGAATTGATTTACAGACCTGTGTATGTTGTAGCTTCAGTTCCAATATGTTCTGCAATATTGTTTACAGTTGTGTACAGCTCCACCCAAAGAAAAATTGTTTGTTGTAAATAAGGGTGTATTTATTCTTTTGCACAATGCTGTGAATAAATTTGAATTGCAACGAGCATCTGCAGTAAAAATGTGAAACATACATATTCAGTGTCTTGTACTCAGATACCTCACTAAATGCAGTGATGTCTAACTTTACTGTAGTAAATTGTAGTACTGTAGCATTTTCAGGACGTGTCATCAACATCTGGCTTTTTTGCATTGAAAAAATGTCCAGAGTAAACTCATAATGAAAACAGGACGAAGCCATTTGACTGTCTTGTCCATAAACAATGGTGTCAGGACTTTTCATTTTGATGATACTGACTCTTTGATTGACATCAATACTTGCTTTTAAGGAATGAACTGACCATTTTGAGCATGTGACGCACTTTTGCAGGTTATCATCTAGTTTTTGCAGTTTGTACTAAATGTTTTGAGAAATGCACTAACTGTTGTGAGAAACGCACCAAAGCGACTGACAGTTTTTCTTGTTTGCTTTGACCTGGTTAAAGAAACTAGGTTCCACTTCATTTTCATTTTCACTATCCCAGCAGAGCAGAAGACCGGTCTTGCAAATGTGTAAACGCTTTCTCATTGGGTTGACACATTTTCCCCACCATTTTTCAAAACAGTTAACACAGATGTCATTCAAGCAGTCCAAACTCCATTGTTTTAGTTATGGTAACCAAACAGAAACCATCTATTTCTAACCATTAGAAACTACCAACATCAATATGAATTCACTGAAGCACCGGTTTGACACTCCTTCACACAAATCTTCAATAAGCAATCAGTCTGCAAACATTAAAAACGGTGGAAGGTCTGTGTTGTTCTGTGCCAGCATGGATGGAGGAGGTCAATAATGGCTATGTCCTATACTCCTAATAGATTTGACTGTATATTGGTTTACATGTGTTTTCTCTAATGTTTAGAGAAAGTATTTTATTACTTTTTTTCTGCTTTAAAAAAAAATAAAAAATAAAATATATATATATATATATATATATATATATATATATATATATATATATATATTTTTTTTTTTATTTTTTTTTAAAGCAGAAAAAAAGTAATAAAATACTTTCTCTAAACATTAGAGAAAACACATGTAAACATATATACAGACATATCTATAAGGAGTATAGGACATAGCTATTTTTGACCTCCTCCATCCATGCGCGCACAAAAAAACACACACCT